AGACCAATACTCAATATACCAATTGAATACTATAGAGAGGTATGCTGCTTATCACTTTCTTAGCCTAGTAGGAGAACAATAAACTAAAATAAAATTTACCATAAAAAATTTAATTGAAAAAGTTTAAATATACTAATAAAATAAACTTCAGGATGATAACAAAACCAACTATTTTTTTAAAGGTCTATGGTGTGCTGCCATGAATCAGTTGTCCTATATTATATCAAATCAATATGTTATGGATTCAGAATATATAAAATGATCTGAAGAAAATTTAATTAAATTTCAAATTTTCAGATTAAAGTTATTCGGAGCCACAGTGGTCGAGCGAATTAAGATATCTGCAAAATCTTATGTCACAAGTTCAAATTCCATTTGCAGAATTCAATAACAAATAAAGAAAGATAAATATAACAATAATAATAATAATAAATTCAAACAAGCCCTACTCGATTGCATAGATCAATACAGCGCTGATTAGACTCTCGCATAAGGACAGTAACGCCCCAACTACAGATTCACAGGGAGGTGAGTGACCCCTGTGTCGCACATCATAGCTCCTGGTCCTCCAGGTTGGCGATTGAATATAGGGCTATTCCCTATCCCATAAAAAATAAAGAATGAAGATTTCTGAAAAATGTTGCCAACTATTCTTCAGGAAAGTGCCTGATGAGGAGGGAATGATTTCCTGTGGTTATTGTAAACCACGTGCTCCTTGGATATCATGAAGAGAATTAAACGATCACAGCTGTCGCCTATAACATCCCCAAAGCTGCTAGAAGACTCATGGGGAAGTCTAAAAAGTCAAGAGGTATAAGAAAAAAAAAATTATAGATATTAGTCAAGCTTCAAACAAAATCTTTACATCACAATTGTTTTTTTCGATTGTACTATACATAAATTTAAAAGAGTGCAATGGAGAAGAATTGAAAGTTTATTCATTTTTTTCAGTTTTGAGGAAAAAGAAGAACACGTTTTGCAACTGTTTTGTTGTCTGCTGATGCTCAATTTGTTACACAGAGATCAGAGGCTGAAACCCAACAAAACAAAGAGAAAAGCAACAAAATCAGTTAACCAAATTTCTAAGATTAAAAATTGTCATCAGATTTTTTTTTTTAAAGGTTATTGTAAAATGATTCCAAAACACTTTACATTCTTCAATCTTCATAAATGACAGAGATATAGAAATATAAAATATCTAATTGACCGCTATTTTTTAAAAGATAAAGGTAATACTAAGTTCTGAGGAATTTCCTGAAGTAAAGTAACCTATAGCCATATCATAAAACCACTGACTTCATCAATAGTCTCAGAAGAAATCTCCATATGGCGAAATGTAGTTTTTATTTTTAGAATCTGTGTATCTTTGAACTATAAACTCAAATTTTTATTTTCTTCATTGATTATAAAGGTTGTGTGTTGAACATAATAAACTAAAATTAAAGAAACAGCCAAGGGCTGAGGCCAAAGAAAAAGCAAATGGTGACTATCTCAACAAACTATCTTCAATAATTAATTAAGTAAAGACTGGTAACTCAAGGAAATGTGAAGTTAAAATAAGACTTAATGCATTATTATTTCAAATAATTAAAGTTTAACTAGTACATATACATAGGTTAATTACAATAAATAAGTTAATCTAAAGTCTTTTTTATAGTTTAGGCTTTTTAAGTTATAGAACGAGCCAACAAAATATATAAAAATATGCTTGAATAAATAAGTATTAAATAAAAAAAGGTTTGAGAAAAAAATAAATAAATGCTGACGCATCCAGAACTCGGTCTGTCTTGGCTATCTGTGATTTTTTTTTTTTTATATTGATAGTGTTCAGTGTGAATCTGATGGAGCGATAGATAGTTAGTTATACATATAGACACAACTTGATACCCAGAGCAGGGATTGCAGAAGATTATGATCTGTGTGCACAAGTCTTAAGATAGCATAAGTTGGAAATTAGGACAGTGATTAATCAATGAAATTAATGCTGAAATCCTAACATAACTCTCATTAGATATCTGTCCTTCTACATAATACATTCGAAATTAAGTGATAATGTGGCAACATGTTCATTCCTATAAACAATATAATATTAACATACAAAACTGGTGAATCATGTCGAATTTTTAAAGGAAACATTGAACGCTCCTCACTAAAAGAGCAGTCTGTCTTATAACATTATCTCTATGAAGTTTACACATTTAATGGTTATAAGGTTAAACATGAGAAAGAATGAATGATGAATGATGTTCTCCTCAACTATTCATAGAAACCTAAAAGCCTGAATATGATAAATAAGGATATGTGATAAATAACACACCTGAGAGACTATTGCTAATGTTGGTGTGGGCAGCACTTTATGCAGTAAATCAAAAACGTTAATTTAAATTTATGGTTGATAAATATTCAGGACGCAGTCTTTTTTTTTTTTAAATTTAAATTTTTTATTTATGCCAACATTTCAACTCAAACATGTGGGTCATCTTCAGGGCGTGGTTTGAGCACTGAGGGTGTTCAAGTACTCTCTAGAGGGTATGAGTACTTGAACACCCTCAGAAACGTTGGCATAAATAAAAAATTAAATTAAAAAAAAAAAGACTGCGTCCTGAATATTTATCACCAATGCTATGTAGAACAGTCTACTAGCTTCCTTCACTAATTTAAATTTAGTTTACACAATCATATATACATTTCTATAAATTTGTTTTCAATCTGAAAAAATATTTTTCCTTTCTTTCTCAATCAATTAATTATAAAATTTTTGGTTGTTTATATTTATCAATTTTTGACTAGGGTTTTAAAACGAATGTTTCAATGGGTTCCATTAGAAAATACAGAATTGGATCTTTTTTCTGCATCGTAATTTAAAAATACTTTAATTGAAATGAATTAACTCATGGTAATAGTGGCATTACTAGTATTAGTGTAGGCACCACTTAATCTTGCATTATCTCAGCAATGTTTAATTTAGGGCTTTAAAATGCAGAGACCACTACGCTTCCACAGGAACATCTAGAATCAGGTAATATGTCTAAATTATAATCTTTAACACCTTCATCAGAATCGAACTAGTATTAGCGGTGATACTGCTTATTCTACTTTTTACACATGCTGAACTTATTGCAATCAGGTCAAATTTCCGATATGCGGTTTTCGACAGATCTATATGTTTCAGAGCTCCATGAAAAAAAATGCCGTTTAGCCTGTTTTCAGAAAGGTAATGAAATTCCCTACAAAACTACATAAAAATCGTTCATTTTGGACAACTATTAACGAAGTTACAGCTATTCAATTTTCAATATAAGATTACGGATTCATATCCTGGTGTCAGAAAGGGGTGAATGAGCAAAAAAAGATGACTAAGTGAAAGTAAGAAAATCTGTTGCCAGCATCACACAAGCTTCACTATTTCCTATACTTTTAACAAAAATTATTGTTTGACAATACTAAGCTATGGCAAAAAGATTTTGATCAGCAATATTATAGAGTATTAAAATTCATTCACTGTTCTACCTTAAGCCGGTTTACATTGCTTTAGTTTATCAAATAAGTCGAACTCAAATCTTTTCATTGATCACTTTTCAGGAAAATAAATCTAGTTCAATTTTTTTTTTTTTTTTGTTGCTTCATGAACATATGTAAAGATATAAAAACTTTTCTGAAATAGGTAGGAAAGTCGTGTGAGTGGACACCAGATTTTTTATTTAATAAAGAATAAAATAGAACTTTTGTGTGAATAAATGAAAAATAAATTAAATTTAGATGAAAGTTCCTTATTTACAAAAATTCAAATACAAAAGAATAGAATATAAGATAAAAATATAGAACTAAAAACAAAATATGTTTGACAAAGAGATATTCAATTGTAAGGATAGATTCACGAAAACCTATACTTTCAATTCCATCTATTGTTGCTTCACATCAACTCTAAAGTGGAAACACAATATACTCGCTCAATAATCAGTACTGCTGCTCTGTCGAACTTCATTGAATGCTTCAAAAATTACAACCCTCTTTTTATTCACTTTCTTAACCCGATGAAATAAATTTATACATTAAATAAATGAAGAAAATGTTTCAAGTTGAAAAACAGTCTTAACAATTTAACTATCGAAAAATAAAAACAATGAAAACTATGTTGATAGATACAGACAATGACAAATGATAAAAAGGTCAGAGTAACTCTCAAGAACATTCATATTATTAGATATTATATTTTATTTAATGTACAGACAATGAATGATATAAATGTTTCGAAATATAACAATTTTCTCCATGAGACATAAAAATCTAGCTGATGACCAACATCAAGAGAGATCATAAAATAATCTAAATCATAAATCTACAGAACAAAAGAATAAACCATATATTTCATAGTTTACTCTCATATCTGATAGTGTTGAATATAAATTCTCGTGAAGGTTCGAAATCAATAGACTTTTTAAAAAAATTATCTTTTTCTAAACCATCCAAGAAAACTTGAATAAATTTGTTCTAAGTTCAATTATATTTATATACACAACCATATTAAACACTACTGTAAAATAAAATATTTCTAAAAAAAAAAAGATATTCACACTTGTAAAATACTGGTTGTGCAAAAAATGTCAAAGCATGAACATGAACAGCAAAGTCAAAGCATTATATAAAAACTACAAAAAAAAAAAAATATATATATATATAATAATAATCCTAACGAAAATGAGAAAAAAAAAAAATACATACAGTGTAGTCGAGAAGACAACTATTTTACAATAAAATGTATATTTCAATTGTGTAAAATATGATACATTTTTGTTCAAACGTGTAATTATAATTATTTATTTTACAACACATTGTACATAAGTGTCTTTATATGTTCACTGAATAACTTCCATCCAGCACTTATAGAGCTGAGCTCAGTTTCTACTATAAAAATTATTTCGAAATGAAAGAGGGCAAAAAAAGAAATAAAAAAAAAATCCTATGACTGGTCGAGCTTTAAACTAAAGCCCAAAAGTTGTTCAAATATACTTTGTTTGAGTAAGTTTTGACTGCCCTCCAGATGGATCTAGCATCCGAATCCAGTCTGTTTGACCGACGACAAATCCTATCGCCCTCATCTTCTCCTGTTCCCTCCGCTCCTCCAAATCGGCCCACCGTACCTACAACAAACAAACAAAGCTCATATTAGTCTGCAGTTTTATTTGTTATTTATCTTTTTATCTTAAGAGGTTTGTTTATTAAGAAATCCCAAAAGAAATATAGAGTAAGTTTTTTGGACAATATGGTAATATAATACCCATCAATTAGATGGGTTAAATACAACAGATTGCTCCATTTTAATAGGAGAATATTATTTTCTTCAGATTAACCAGCTGTATTTACTAGGAATTATTTTTTGATAAAGGGAATTCTGTGCTTGACAGAGATTTCAGTATAGCAAGAAAGATTATTGACTTAGCATAATTAAGGAAGCATAATAATAACATACAGAAAAAATGTTATTTCAATTTAACAATAAATGAACTGACCCTCTTCTTCCCTGGAACCGTTGAGGACTGGGAAGTCTCGAAGTAGTCCTCTGGAAGCTGAAGCCAATCCTTAATGGAGGTGGCACGCCTTGCCTTCGATAGCCCGTCGAGCCGGTCTGCAACAAATGGGACACACAACATGCAACAACAGAAATAGTAAAAACATTATGGAGATGTTATCAGTTATTGACTTAAATATTTTTTCTAATAAGAGGTGATGTAGATAATTGTTGGAAGTTGAATTTGTTAACATTCAACTAATACGTTTTGTTGAATTTATGAACAATCATAAATTGGTCAGCATTACGAAGAAAGGAACCAATTCTCAAGTAGGACATATTACAGTAATTATTCATCATGATCAATTCTTTGCAATGATTCAAAAGTAAAACAAATATTACAATAAAAAATGAAGTATAAATATTTGATAAAGCATGAATTTTAGAATGGAAATAAATTTGTCTGATTTCTACTACCACATTTTTATGTTATCGTTTAATTAATTAGAATAGTAATTGATAATAGTTATGAAATAATAGAAAAGCTTTGCTTCATTTCTTAAAGCTTATGGGTTTCTTATTAGATTTCAAAAGGAGTTACAGAAATTAATAAAGAAGTATAAAAATAATACTCAAACAGCATTTTCAAAATATTTTAATTTAGCAAAATATATTAATAAAGCTGTGAGGGATTTTGGCATCCAGGCTACTGGTACACTATTCAATAAGACCATACAGCTACTTGCATATGCCGATGACATCGACATAATGGCCAGATCGATGAACGCTATGAAATAAGTGTTTGTCCTACTAGAAGCAGCAGCTGAAGGGTTAGGACTGGTCGTTAACGAAGCAAAAATCAAGTATATGTGTATTGGAGGTAGTGCTAGCGCCCGAGAACAACACCTGGAGCTTGTGCACTATAAGTTACAAAGAGTTAATGAGTTTGCATATCTGGGATCTCTGGTAAATAGAGAAAACAAAGGAAACCTAGAGATCAAGAGAAGAATAGCAGCGGCAAACAAGTGCTATTTCTGCTTAAATAAGCATTTCAAAACCAAACTCATCTCTCGCAGCACAAAGACACAGCTTTATAAAACGCTCATTCGTCCGGTACTGATGTATGGCTCTAAAGCCTAGACCAATACGCAAGGAGACGAGCGAGCCCTAGCGTTATTTGAGCTGAAAGTACTCCGCAGAATCTATGGTCCTGTGTGCGATGAACAGAATTGGAGGATTAGACACAACACAGAGCTTAACAATCTATTCAAGGAACTGGATATCATAAGAATCATAAAGCTTGCAAGACTGCGATGGGCAGGGCATGTGGCGAGGATACAAAATGATGAAATCCCAAAAAAAACTATGGAGAGCAATGAACAAGGCTCTAGAAAAGTAGGAAAACCACGGCTGCGATGGCAGGATTGTGGGGCAAGAGATGCACGTGCACTACTTGGTGTACGTAACTGGAAAGCGGCAGCGCAGGATAGAGACGCCTGGCGGACACACGTCTTGAGGAGGCCAAGACTCTTCATGAGTTGTAGTGTCGTGGAAGAAGAAGAAGAATATATTAAAAATATATAACTGCTATTGAAAATAAAAAATTATTGCAATGTAATTATTAGGATCAAAATTACATGTTTACAGTTGTTTTTTTTTTTTATATAATAATTGAACACCTCTTCACCAGCAACAATCCTACTGCCTACAAAATTTGTAAACATACATTGCAGCATTTATAAGATGCCAATTCAAATCTAAAGCCTTATTTATGAAGCAGTATCATTTATATCTTTACGATTTGCCCACTTTGAAAAAGTGAATTATTTATAGCTGAAATCTTTTAATATGCAACGGTTCTTGACAGTATATAATTAGTAATTTATGTTCTTAAATTTTAAATTATTTTTCAATGTTTTCAAAACATAATATTATCTTTTGAACATACTTAACAATATTTATAGAGATGTTCCATTTCTATAAAGGTAACATTTTCAATGTAAAGATAATTTCTTAAAAAGGATTAGTTCTTTGGCGATTTATTCCATATCAGTTATCAAAAATTAGAAAACTAAAACAAAATAATAGCATTTTACAAATTCCACAAATATTCCTTTTAATTGTACTACTCATTGCTGAAATTGAATAACTGTAGTTTACATGTATTCTGCAGTTCAAATAGTATTAATTTTTATCAACATAAAATAAATGGATGAAATCGCAGATCAGACAAATTTTTAATTTCTTTAAAAATCTATATCATACATTGCGCCTTATTGCCAATTTGTAACCATAATAAGGGAGAAACCATTCTGGAAATAAGAAGTGCGGTGCCTGGTCCGTCCCTATGTACATGTAAAATAAAATATGACACGGTATCTAAAAACTTTCTTATCTAATAGAGAGAAATAAGTTGAATTTATTTTATCTAGTTTGATAAGCAGATTAGAAAATATGCTTTTTAAGATAATTCAGTTTTCAACAGTATAATAAACAGCATCTTTAATATAAAAGAAAGAAAACTCGTTAATTCAAGAATTTTGGACTAACTTCACAAATACCAAACATAATATCTACATCATCTCCCATTATATAATATTTTTAAATCCAATAGGATGAACAATGAATTGGGAAAAATAAATATAAATAGTTCCTTCTGATTGACTCCTGTCGAACCTCTGAAAAATTTATAACAGAAAAAGCACAAATACATTTATACTAACGTATAAAAATACTTTAAAAAAAGAAAAGAAATGTATACCTAATTTGTTATAAGAGCTGTCCAAATCGTCCCACTTGCTGGATAGTGCTGAGGCCAATAGTCCCTGTAGCAACAACTTCCACATCTCAGATGACCTAGTTAGGCTTAAAGGGCTTTTGGGAGGCATGTTTCAACACAATAATTTTACATACTTATTGCCTTGAAAACATATCCCATTATTGACCCATTTTTTAAAATAAAAGTTGAAAACTTTCAGATTTGAAAAAAAAAATTTGGAAAACTGAAAGGGGTATTTACTGAATGACCATTACTAATTGAAAATAGAAAATATGCACATTTTAGTAAGCGTGCAAATTGAATTATAAAAATAAATATATATTTAATCATGAATTTAATTAAAAGGGAATTTTATTTTTTCAAGAAATTACCATAAAAAGATTAATTTTACAATTCATATTAAAGAAATGATATTCAATTAAATTTCTTCAAGCATACAATGAAATATTTTAAACAAAATAAAACAAAAAAAAAATAATACAGACATTTTATAACAACATAATTATGCAAACAAAAAAGATAACAATGGATGCAGATCTGCTCCTGAAATTTAATTAATTAGTTTAAATCAAAATATTTTTCAACAGAGCTAAAATAGCACAGAATAAACATTTTATTTCCCTATCAATTAGATATGAAGAAAACTATTCTTCATGAAACAAACAAGTTCATTAAAATCTAAGACCGAGCCAGAGCTTTCCACTCACATGCTTGTTTTTCAATCCACTATCCTGAGGAACACTAGAATGAATATAATAACAAATAAAAAGGTTGGAAAGTTCTTTTCAAAATGTCAATTAAGTGCTACAGGTAGAACAAGTAACAAATAAAGGCATTGGCATCCTACATTTAAATGGTCTACCTTCCCAAAAATAAGCAAATAATTGGTAATATATATATAAATATTAACAAATATTTATATACTACAGTAGCTTCTTTATTGTTGGTCGTAACTATGATGAGCTGAGTATAAAGTTTTCATTAAATGGAAAGGAAAAAAAAAAAAAAAAACATTGTCAAACATCAGTTCACTGAGAGCTAAACTTTACTACAAGCTTTAAGCAACATAGCCAGTGAGAATCATAGTGGTGTGATACAAAACACTTTTTAAATGGAAAATACAAATACATAACACAAAATGTTTTCCTTTAGCATTATTCTAAAAAAGCATCACACTTTGCTTTTCAAAACTAGAAACAAAATACCAAAATCAAATATCTGTAAAGAAAAACGATCATATAAATCAACAAAAATACAATAAGAAAATTTATACTAGTTTATAATTATCTTTTCTGTTATAGGTACATTAATTTTTTATTCAGTTCAAATATTGCAGTAAGAATGTTTTGAATAAGTCATTATCAAACAATCTTTAATTTTCAAACAAAAGTAATTATACAGCTAAGGGAAAAGTTAAAAAATAATGTCATTTTCAAGATAAAAAAAGATAGTAAACAAATATTTAACAGCAATTAATAATAAAATTATTTTTGTGAGATGAATGATTTCGAAAGGACAGAATGCCTTTTGATGAATTCAGGGAAATGAAATTCCATAGAAAAACCTTATAAAAAGATAAGAAAGGTTGCAGAATGTGACAATAGCGAATATTGAACAGATTTTATTTGTGAACTTAAATTTCTTTGCTTATATTAGAATATCGCAAATCCAAGGTGATAGGGAATAGTGTCGTTTCATTAATAGGGGTGGATTAGTGGAGGTATATTAAAAAAAAAAAGAACACTGATTAATGTGAAAACATATATTACGGACAATAACTGATTACAATATTATATTGAAATAAATGCTTTAATGGTGATAGTCAAGAATGATCCTTTATTTTTATCTTCTTTATCACTCCCTGGCCATTATTAATCCCTATCTTGCCACTTTTTAAAAAATTTCATACTTTTTATCTAACACTAACGTGACATGTTGACATTTTATTTATGTCATTATCATAAACTTTTTTATTTAAGTGTACAACTCAGAACAATAATTGGCAACAGGCAAACTGTATATTTTAATTATTAATTTGACTATATTAAATTAAGTGTCACAAAATACTTTTAGTCCGATAAGAGTGCCACTGATAAAGAAAGCAGCTACAGTTATTTATATTTTATTGTGGATATGTTTGTTTGTTTAAGTACCGGTATATATACAAACTTTAATTTTTATATCACTGTAATCTACACAATTAAATATTAAATAATACCAATGATAGCATTTATGAAAACCACAGATGTTTATGTATTAATAATATTGTTGGAGTTTACATTATTAAGCTCATGTTAAGAAATGGAAATCAGCTCCAATCTTTCAGGCAAGCTCGGGAGCGCTGGGATTCCTTTGGTTTCTTCATTATAACTATTCTCCTTTAGTTAATTATCAAATTCTTTCATATTTTATATTTAACTATTTTTTATATTAGAGATAAATGCGAAATAGTTAATTAATTCAAAATAAAAAAAATTAAAGATACTTTAGAGGAAGACATTTTGAAAAAATTGGCATTTAAACCCTGTCAGATTGCATCGATGAGGATAAAACTAAATGAGGATAAATTAAGAACCACTTAATAATACACTAACCTAGTAGTCAGTGGGCCAGACCCCCTTACCGTGCACTCTCCCTCCCCCTCCCCTCCACAACATCCCTATAAATTGCATATTGTTGTGTTCCTTGTAACTATTTATTAAAGAAAAGTCAATTTCCCACAAAAAAAAAAAGTGAACGAACTGCCCCCAAAATGGCATCCAAACATGACGGATTGACGAGTTTGACTTTAGTTAATTTTTTGGTCACTGAGAATTAGCATTTGGCTTAATTTACTCATAGTTGGTCTTTTATTAAAGCTGAATAGTCAGACAATAAGAAAATATTAAAAAATAATTGGCTTAGGCAATAAAAAACACCAGTAAAGTTAATTTTTTCAACAAAAAAATTTTGTTGAAAATCAAGCGTCGTTTGTAATTAAACAGCCAACAATATTGCAAAACGTGTTCAAATAACACATCTGAGGAATAAATTTATATTTTTAAAACACTGATTACTTTTTAAAATATTTGAAGCAGTTCCGTAGAAAACGCACTTAAGTGGCAGAAAAACGGCACTCGCGTGGGTGCCTACAGGCCTCTACCACACGATTCAGTGCCCATAAATGGCTTAGTTATAGTGCTATAATAACATTTTTGATACATTGTATTGATTGTATTAACAAAAAAATGTTAATGCAATAATTTAATTGTCCTAAAAAATTTAAACAATTTTTTTTTTAATTTATTATTTTATTTTTTATTTATTTTTCAAAATTTAATTTCTTTTATTCTATACAGAGGTCGTTTAAGAAGGCCTCTATTGTAAAAATGATATAATTATAATAATAAAACTTAATTCACAACGTTTATTTAACACTTTGTTTTGTATATTTACTGATTCTTAGAGGTACAATAATATATATCTAACCTGAACTACATATAATGAATAGTTAATTGGCTGTTTAGTAATGATTCTTAGAGGTACAATAATATATATCTAATCTGAACTGTTTAGTAAAACTCAGAATATGACAAATAAAAAAATTAATTTTTAATTACTTTATTTTGTTCGGAAGTTGGACCATATCATAAAAAATTAGGAAATTTAAATATTGAATGCATTATTCTCTCTACACAAAAAAAAAAAAACGGAAAGGGCGAAGCTAGAAGTTCTTCTAACGAATTTGGTCTCAAAATGAGGGAAAACGCGAAATTGAACCTAACAATTGGAAAAATACATTAATCGAACGAGAAAGGAATTGCTAAAATCTCGGAAAAGAAAACAAGCGTCAGTATCCATTATATGGCTAAATGACTATATAGTAGATAGATGAACAGAATATTTCAAGATGCTGCTAAAAGGTGTTCAAATGCTGGAGCAGTTTGGACGATATTAAGGGGACGAATCAGATTAATTATGGTGAAGACCATTTTATCAGCAAGAAATATTTATTTGAAGCAACTGGCAAGTCAGCAGGTCTTTACAAAGTAAAGCTATAATTATGGTGAAAACAACTTTCTTTTCAATTGCTACTGAAGTTGCACATTGGGACTATCTTCACTTTGAAGCAGGTTATAGAGAGCTCTATCGAAAAAAAGAAATAGCTCTCCTTCTGGGTAGTGCATTTGCAAAAGATTTTTTAACAAATCTGAAAGGAAAACAAGGTTTTCTAAAAAACTGGTAGATATTAGCACAACCCAAAGTGTGAGGCACTAAGCAGATAGAGAGCTGTTTTTCTTTCTTGATGGACTATCCTTAATTGGGTCTTCACTATAACCTGCCTTAAAGTGAAGACCCAATTCGTAAGTTCATTTCCAATGTGCGACTTGAGTTTCCTAATCCATATCGCTCTGGCAATCGACAATATTACTTATTCTAGCTTCGACGATTCTTGAGTAGAGTTTCTTTGGTACACTAAACAGGAATGAATCTCGATGGATATTACATTTCCTAGTATCTCCTTTCTTATAAAAGGACAAAATTACACGATTTTTTATTTATTTTTCAAAATTTAATTTCTTTTATTCTATACAGAGGTCGTTTAAGATGATTGTTAGTATTTGGTTAGTTATTGCACCATAACTTTCATGTCATTTCTAATACATAGGCAATAATGTATGCGCAAAACAGTTCGGTTAACTTTGTCCAGACCACAGCTGACTTGCCAATTGCTTCGAATAAATATTTCTTACTGATAAAATGGTCTTCACCACAGTAAATCTGCATCGTCCCCTTAATATCATCCAAACTGCTCCAGCATTTGAACACCTTTTAGCAGCATCTTAAAATATTGTGTTCATCTATCTACTATATATTTGTGTAGCCATATAAATAATACTGATTCTTGAGAAGGAGTTAGTCGAGGGTGCGGTCAAATAAATAAAAAAATTAAAATATAAAAATTAAAATAATTTATATATTTTAATTTTTTTATTTATTTGACCGCACCCTCGACTAACTCCTTCTCATATTATATTAACGGTCAACCATCTTTACATCACTATGAATACTGATTCTTGTTTTCTTTTCCAATATTTTAGCACTTCCTTTCTCGTTCGATTAATATATTTTGTCAATTTTTGGGTTCAATTTCGTGTTTCCCTCGTTTGGAGACCAAATACTAACAGTCAGTTCTGGTTACCTAGAAGAAGATAAAGCTCTGCCCTTTCCATCTTTCTTTGTGCAGAGAGAATAATGCACTCATTAAAATGTCCTAACTTTTTATGATATGGTCCAACTTCCGAACAAAATAAAGTAAATAAAATTAATTTTTTAATTTGTCATATTTGAGTTTTACTAAACAGCCAAGTAACTATTCATTATATGTAGTTCAGATTAGATATATATTATTGTACCTCTAAGAATCATTAAATATACAAAACAAAGTGTTAAATTTCAAACGTTATATAAATGTTTTGAATTACGTTTTATTATTATAATTATATCATTTTTACAATAGAGGCCTTCTTAAATGACCTCCGTATAGAATAAAAGAAATTAAATTTTGAAAAATTAATAAAAAATAAAATAATAAATTTAAAAAAAAATTGTTTAAATCTTTTAGGACAATTTAATTATTGCATTAATATTTTTTTGTTAATACAATCAATATAATGTACCAAAAATGTTATTATTATAGCACTATAACTAAGCCATTAATGAGTACTGAATCGTGTGGTTGAGGCCTGTAGGCACCCATGCAAGTGCCGTTTTTCTGCCGCTTAAGTGCGTATTCTACGGAACTGCTTCAAATATTTTAAATAGTAATCAGCGTTTTAGAAAAAGAAATATATTCCTCAAATGTGTTATTTGAACATGTTTTGCGATATTGTTGGCCTTTAATTACAAACGACGCTTGATTTTCAACTTGAAAATTTTGTTGAAAAAATTGACTTTACTGGTGTTTTTTATTGCCTAAGCCAATTATTTTTTATATGTTTTCATGTTTTCTTATTGTCTGACTATCCAGCTTTAATGAAACACTAACTATGAGGAAATTGAGCCAAATGCTGATTCTCAGTGACCAAAAAACTAACTAAAGTCAAAGTCGTCAGTCCGCCATGTTTGGACGCCATTTTGGGGCAGTTCGTTCACTTTTTTTTAGGTAAAACTGCCTTTTTTTTAATAAATAGTTGCAAGGAACACAACGATATGCAATTTATAGGGATGTTATGGAGGGGAAGGGGAGAAGAGGCTGCACGATAGGGGGTCTGGCTCATCCTGTATCGTGAGTTTAATCAGAATCGCCAAAGCCTTTTTAAAGAAAATCATAACAATATGGTTAATTGGTGATATTAAGTGCCACTGCCGGTGAGCCGATATTGAAGAAAAAGTTGCTGTAACATCTCAGGCATATAAAAACCTTAAATATGCAATTTCACTTCCGTATTTAAACATTATTAAGTAAAAATTTTCCTGTATTTTTCACTGCTCTTTGCAGGCCCCTCCCTCTTTTGGGAGCAGCACATATACTTCATTTTTCATTCTTAAAAAAAAATGATATACTTCATTTTTCATTCTTAAAAAAAAAATGAACACCGGGTCTGATTAATTTTAATTAAGTTTAATTTATCTTAAAGGTTAGATAAACATGTAAATGTATTACTGATGAAAAATTGTATTTGGATTGAAGTAAAAATGGTATAAAAAGGTATTTTCCTATCTTTTCGTAGAAAGGTGTAATAAATAAGTGTTACACTTAAGTAAACTTAAAAACATAACCTATTAAAATGTTTTAATAATTTGAATAGGAGAATAAAAATTTAAAATATTAAAAGTGACCTCGGACTGTTAGGACTCCACTGTAATGTTTAACAACAGTAGTAACAGGCGAAGTGATAGGGAAAAAATACTAGGCAAAAAAAAGGATATCAGATAATACCTTCTAACTGAAGTTACTACTAGAAGGAAATGCAAACCAAAAATAAATCTAGTAATAAGTGCAATTGATATGTTTCGAAAAAATTTTATCTAAAGAAGCAACTTTAAATAATAAGAAAAATCTATTACTTTTCAAATCTTATATTTAAAACAGAAGATAGATAGCAAATCACTATAAGAACAAAAAATTAAAAGCTATTATATCATTGTGAAGGATTAGTCGAGTTAATAAAGGAAATGATCTGAATTTTTGTGTTAATATTTGACTAAACACAACAGCTTTCATTTCATTTACAATCTCACAAAACGACACTAATGTGGATTACTGAAACTTACCAACATAGCCTATCATGAAGAAATAAATGGAGAGTAAGAAGATTAAAATATTACACAGTTATATTTTCAACTGCATCTTTTCTTAAAACATAGAATACTGTAGAAAATATATGTTAAAAATAACTTGAAGCTCCTCAATATGTCAATTATTTAATGTAACACTTCTTCTTGGTATAGAATGAAAGTGGTGTAAATCAGTTTAGCTCACAAAAAAATATATACAAAAAAGTAAATAAAATATCTTTGATTGAACTTTATAATAAAAGCATTATATGATTTTCGATGCTTTTTTTTAAAAATCATCTTTATTAGAAACAGTTCAAATGCCAACTGTTGGAGTTGTTTAAAAATAATAATTTGTAATAAGAAAATATTTAGAAAGTTGATTTTCTGTAAATTAATAAAATTTGACTTACACCACTATGACTCTTACCGGCTCATATATTGCACTCTATAAAATCAAAATTCCATTCAATAGCACAATAGAGAAGTCAAATCTTCATAATGTTGGGATATTCTTCGAACTACTGAGACAACAAAGCATTTAACCTGTATAGCTTGTAATAATGGAAATAGAAAACAAAATTAATCTTTAATTATAGTTTTCAAATTCAGTATAAAATATAAAATGATGAAATATCTGAAAAAATCCTGAAAAGAAATATTAGTTATTAAGTATTAATAAATGGTTGCCTTTCAAGTTTTGCTTACCTTAGTCACAACTTCATCATTATCAGCAGATTTTGATTCTTTTTCATCTTTTAATTCTTCATGACTAGAATCCTCAATTTTGCTTGAATTTTCATCATTCTTGTTTTCAACATCACTTCCTCTTTTATCTTCAACATCTTCCATGTGTGTGTCTTCTGACATATCTTCAACTGGCTCAGAGTCTTCCATATTTACCTATAAGTTCATGTAAAATTAGAAATATGGAAATATGTATTACTTAATAAGCAGCAGCTCACTCACAAGAACTTTGGATAAAAAATTATTTTTCTATGTTATCTAAGAGCTAGATAAAAGAGAAGGTTCTTCCATAGGCATGTCTATATAAGTTCCTTTTTTGTACTCAAATAGAATACTTTATAGTCACCACATTTAAATAATACTCTTTTAGTAATTTAATTATGAATTCACTAAATGTAAATTGACATCTTAAGCGGACCCTACACGGTAATTCATGAATGAACGTCACAAGAATGGCAAAGATTGCTCGGGATCGCTTTGATCATGAAGACCCTTACACGTTCAATCAATATTGATCATTACTTATTGTTGCTGACACCAATTTAGCTCAGTTGTAAACAAAGAAAAGCATAGGTATGCTTATTTGGACATTGTCATTTATAATATTGGGCATCAAGAGAAAAATGGAGATATAATAATTACTTCCTAGTGCCTGAAAATCGTTTAGACCATAGTTAGAAAAATATAAGTCAACTGCATACAAAAATTTAGGAAAAGTATTGCGAAAATAATAAATTTGTTAAGAAAAATGGAAAAATTAATGACAAATAAACACAACAGTTAAAGATTTTTTTTCTATAAGTAAATTGTGAAGTTTTTTTGTTTTGTTTTTCAATTTATTGCCTACTTGACTATTTAAAGAAAAAATAGTTGAAAATGGTTAATAAAAATATAAACTAGGGATATAAACAAACAACTAGTTACCTTTATGAAATTATTTACTTAAAAACGAGACCTAGGTAAACTCGTCTCATAGAAAATCGTTTTGACAAAAGTTAGTAAAATATAAGTCGTCTACACTACTTACAAAAATTAAGGAAAGGTATTGCGAAAATAATAAATTTTTTGAGGAAAATGGGAAAAGAACTGACAAATATACACAACAGTTAAAGATTATTTTTTTTCTTTAAGTAAATTGTGAAGTTTCCACATTTTTTTTATTTTTTGCCCACTTGACTATTTAAAAGAAATAGTTGAAGATGGTTTAAAAATATAAACAAGGGATATGAAAAATTATTTAACTATTTACTTATAATGAAAATCAGAAATTTATAATGGTCGTGAGGTCTAGGTAACTTAACCTATCCCGTAGTATGGTTAGTATCCCCACTACTTTTACCTCAGTCCCCTCTCCACTTCTCATGAATGAACCAATGAACCTTTGATTTCCGGGTGTTCGGAAATCCCCCACACACCACCATCAGTACTTCATTCACTACCTTACACGATAATTCGGAACGTCATTAGTACCTCAGAATGCAATTCCGAATGACCGTGTAGGGCCCAATTTACCATTAGTTGCTGCTGTTAGCTAAGAAAGCCAATTCATATTTAGATACAAGAATGATGTTATTATAATCTTGACAGAGACAAACGGGATAGTAACAAACCAATTACCTCAGTGATGCTTGCAGACTGAAGAAGTGACCTAACATCCAATATGGTTTCAGTCAAGGGTGTTTTTTCCCAGTTTTTAACAATATTTTTTATTTCCTCCTCTGTCCTCTTATGAACATTTCTTTTTACACATAAACTAATATCCAAATCCATTTCACAAATGTATACCTAGTACATAAACCGATAGTACAGATGGAGTTAATTAAAGTGATAAAATTATATAAAATAGATAAAAATAAAAAAGGCAGGTTGCTCTAGCAGCTAGCAAATAATCACCTGGAAACCTTTTTGCTTAGCAAAACTAGAGAGTTCTTCAAAGTGGTTCAATTTATCATTGATACAATCGACAATAATAAACGGGAAATATCCATCAATAATAGTCTTCCGAAAAGCTTTTACCAGTGATTCTCTATAATGTGGTTCCATACCTGACTCATATTCGTATTCCATTGCCTGTTAAATAGAAAAAAATGAGATTTAAAATATAATAAAAACAACATATTATTACTATAGAGAATAATAAAAATAAAAAACTGTGAATGGCAACCTTGACAGTTGTAGTTCTGCCAGTCTCTTTGTCTAATTCTTCTTTCTCAGTCTCAACCATAAAATAATCATCTAAAGATAGTATTCTTGGGGCAGATCCTCCCACTTCAACTTCCTTATCCTAAATGCATCATCAAATTAATTTACATACGAGTATGAATGATTTAAAAAAAATATTACTAAAATAATTTTGGAGGACGGAGATGGTCGGTCATACCAAATAAAATGATATTGATAAACAAGAAGAATTTAATGAAATAACTTCCCAATCTAATAAAACAGAAGTTATATTAAATAAAAAGAATAAACCTAAAAAAAAAAAGATATACCTAAAATTATACATCAAATCTTATACAAATTCAAAATGGATTCAGAGAAATCATTTTCACCCATAATTCCACAAATTATTATTCTTAATTAAACCATCAAAATCCTAAATAAATAAAGCAAAAACATCAAATTTCAAAATCAAAAAATTAACAGGAATACAATGAAAAATAATCAAAATATATTCGCAAATTCTTGCAGAATTAAAATAAGAAAAGTCCATATATATAAATAACCATGTTGAGTTATAGAAAATAAATAAATTCTACAACAGTATCTCTTAAAAGATAAAATTCCTAAAAAATAAAAGTTATATAATCTCAAGAAATAATAGAATTAATTACATAAATTTCACCTACTAAATTTAAGGAAGTAGGTGAAGATATATTATTAGAACAAAGAATAAATCAAATCAATGATAATCTAGATATTCTTAATAAATATCCTTTATTAATAAATAATCTATGACTATGATTACATTCATCTTTTCATGATCGCCACCCCAAACCATCTCTGTCCTCTAAAATATACAACCGTTAAACATTAAGTATTCAATTAAAATAATTTTGTTTAAACTCCATCAATTTTATGCAATTTCATTTTCATTTCCCAAAGGATTTTTTTATGGCTGTGGAGTCAAGCATTCATGACTTCTCAAGATTTTCTCTAAATTGATTGTTAATAGAACTTTTGGAAAGGTAAATTACAGCTCTTCCAACTCAAACCAAAAACTTTTGTATTTCATTAATTTTTAGCCAGAAATTATGAAAAACTTCTCAAACATTTTTATTATAGTATCTTAGGTCCTCATTTGTTTAGGAAGGTCGGGTTTATATAATTTGGCATAGTATATAAAGTCCTAAATCTCCAATAATTTTGTGGGTATCGGTGAAGTCATCATTAAGTTACCACAATCTTTATTTTAGTCGACAGAGTTTCGAAGGGTCCAGTATAGATAAAAATTTCATGTACAAATTTTTTTATTTTCAATTGTTATGAAAATTTGTATTTAAGGAATTTTTGGGATGCAAAAATATCACTCTTATTCAGTTATCAGTTCATAAATATAACAAAGAATAAATAAAATAAAAAATAAAAATAAATAAAATAAAATAAAAGCATGCTTGTAAAAAAACCAATCAATAAAAAACAAATATCTTTTTCTTATACCTTTGCTATCAAAATATCTTCTGATAATTACATAAAAATTAATTACCTTCATGAGTTTAGCAACGTAAGTCTTTCCCGACCCAGGTGGTCCTCGAAGAATAACAACTATTCTTGGTGGGCGCCTCTCTCTGCCTGGAGCTAATAAGATATCATCAACTAGAAGAATTGGATTATGGGACACTTCTGTGATATTTTGGGGAGATATTTTCAAAGATGGTTCCTCCTTTAAAGATCTGTTTTGAGGTGAGGGACTCCTGGAATTAGAAATAATCAATTACATAAAAAGTATACATCAATACAATCAGAGAACCCAAAAATAAAATAAAGTTATATAGCAGTTACACACAGCAATTTAAGTAAACAGTGATTAATTAATCAATGAATTATTTTTTTAAAAATTAAAATGATATTCCTTCTTATTCCACATAAGACCCAGTGATATTCCTTCTTATTCCACATAAGACCCAGAAGACTCAATTACCTGAGTTTATTGAGTACATTTAATAACAAGAGTTATTAAATGAAGACTATATCAGGTAAAAACAGACACACGATTTGAAAATCAGTAATTTACACATATCCACTCCTTTAAAAGAGAAGTATTAGAGATGAAGAGACTCACATAATATTGATTGTCAACTGAAATTACCCTGAGTTTATAAGTGTTTTTACCTTAAAATTATTTTGAAAAAAGTTATTTTTAAAACAAGTATCTTAAGTCAAGGTTAATAATTAACTGGCTGATAATTTGCTAATTCCAGCACCATGAGAATTACAATAATACAGTGAAATTACACTGAATGTAAGCTTCATTGAATATTTTATCATTGTTGTATTCCTAGAGATAGGCAAGAGAAATGTCTAATAGAGATAAGACCACATCCAAACTTCATGCAAACTAGTCAAACCATACTGCATAATATTTACGTAACTAATCACAAAAATCAATAAATTATTCTAGAAGGCTTTTCTCCAATAGTATAATTTATAACTTTGAAAAGTTCCAAAAAATAAAAAAAATGAAACAGAAAGTAGGTTACCGTGTTTTGGAAAGTGAGTTTCTCTTAGAATCCTTGGATTTATCAGAAGATCTATCCCTGTCCTTTCGTTCATCTTTGTACCTATGAAAAATAATTGAGAAAAATGTAAACATTTTGTGGTATTTGAACATATAAACAAAATTGAATTATCAAGGCTTTTTAAAAGGTAATTTTCTTAACAAAGTTTTTAATTCTTACACCTTACAATTTAATAACCATACAAACTAACCACACATTGATGTCAGAAATAAAAAAATATATATTATAATAGTTAATAAAATATTTAGGATCTGGGAAAGGACTCTTTGTATAGTTGATAAAGTATGGATTTTATCATTATTTATACCTACTAATGACTTAATTATAGAGATAAATATTAATACTATTAAGGACTTATTTGTAAATATTTTGGAAGAGATGCAGATAGCAGTGTTGCTTAGGACAACGGAACTATCACGAGATACATGAAGATTATAAATTCTAGCCATAGCCTTGACTAATGTGAGGTCTCATCCTCGGAGTCGTCACAAGAAATGTTGTTATCTAGTTTCATACCAATAAATAAAGTATATTGTAGTATACACCTTTATTGAAAGTTGGTAAAAATGGTTTGATAAATTAGTGTTGAACAGTAAAAAGACAAGCTAATCTAGTTCTGCTAATGTCAGGGGATGTTTGAATTTGAAAAATAGTTTCACAAGTCCAGAGAAAAGAAAATAGCTGCTCTGTAATTTCTCCAAAGAGGGAGGGACAAAGGATTTTTGTTTTGGTAAGCAGTTGTTGTTTGGCGGAGTCATTAGTTGTTTGTAGTGATGGAGTGTGACAGAGATTTTAAATCATAGCTCTGACAGTGACAGCTCTGGGAAAATCACTGTGACAAATCACAGTGATTTGTCACTAATGATTTTTTGTCCGGTGATAAGTATACAATGGCTCTTGGGCGAAAGCGGTCACTGTGAAATCATAGTTTACGTGTTTAAATTTATATTGAAATAAAAAAGATTTTTATTTTTCCAGTAATAAATTTTATATTTGACGGGGATACTTTGGTTTCTGTATACAGCCCTGCGAAGAATATTTGAATTTATTTAATTTTTAATTCAGTTTTTATTTATATTTCAACAGTTAAATGAAAAGCTTCCTGTTAATTATTTCATTCAAAAATATATGGCAATGAATGTTCAATTCATCCAAAGTTCAAAAAGTATTTAAAATAAAATTTGACAAATAACTATTATTTTAGAAATAATTATTTCATGATTTTTCCTTTAATTCATTTATTAAATAAATGATGTCAACAATGGCCAGATCGCTGGAGCGATAGTAGTGTTAGAGCGGAGTGATCAGAGCTGTGATTTCAAAGTGTCTATAGTGACTGTCACTGGTGGAGCACAGTGATTTCGGTGAGCCTGTCACTGTGATCACCAGCTCCGGCCCAGTCACTGTGACAGAATCACAGCTCCGCCTATATGGCGCCATCACTAGTGGTTTGGAATTACAAGAAAGAGGATCTCCCAGAGAGCTTGAGTTGAGTAGAGGAAGGTGTCACCATTTTGGAAAGTGTGTTTGGCAGAACTTTGGAAAGTGTTTGAATACAAACGAATTCAGTGCCACAAAGGAAGAAACAGTGTATATAGAAAAAAAGTTAGCTTGCCAATTAATACTTGACTTTATTTTCAAATCAGTGTTTAATTTTATTTAGTATAAATAGTGTCAATAATTTTAGTCTGTCTGAGTGTTTTTGTTTTGATCTGATTATCAATAACCCATAGTCGAGATAAAAATAATTATAAAATTCATTTTAATATATCAATATTCTTATAATTTTGTTTATTATTTAACAACCTATTATTTATTTGGAAGTATTCCAACAGTATTAAAGTGATCTTCCGAGATTATATTACTAGTTTAAAATATAAGAGATATTACAATATATAAAAGAAGAAGCACTAATAAGAAAATTTACAACATAAATATTTAAAAACTAATCTATATACAAATATCAAATGAAACATTTTCTGCAAATAAATAAAATAAGAAACTCAGTAAAAAAAAAATATATATCCACTGTCTTTGGGTATGAACTCATATCACAACAGCGCCGTGACCATTAACTTGAAAGATAAGACTCGCTTTGGGATATTGTCTACCATGTAAGCTATCTTACCTATTTTTTTTTTTTTTTTTTTTTTTTTTTTTTTTTTTTTTTTTTTTTTTTTTTTATTGAATAATAATACAATCAGCCACTGTTGGAGGGCTATAAGTATTAAGGCTAGAAGTTCTCATTCATACAGTATATACAAGTAATACAGAAGTAACTATAAATATAAGAAGTAAATAAATAATACTTATAAAAAAAAGTAAATCAATAGGAAAAAAAAAAAAAATTAATAAATAAAATTAAAAAAAAAAATAAATAAATAAACAAACAAAATAAAATAACAACTTCTAAACACATTCATACCTATATACAATATATACATTCGCCCAGGAATCTCCGAGCCAGGCTTCTCTCCCCACATGTGGAAAGCAAAGCGGGACTCCAGAGATCCCAGTGCCACTTTTCCAGCCGCATCACTAGTATTAAAAGCCAGTGGAGGCTGAAGGAGGGCACTAGAGCCACAGATGCTCAGGACTTGAGTGGAGAAGCTGGCCATTGCCAGGACTCCAGAAGCATATTACAATAGATCTCGCGGCCACTGCCGTTTTAACCTTCGAGGGGGATTGTAGGGATGGTGGGAGCTGGATAGGGATTGAGCTAGAGGATTTGGATGATGGATAAGGTTCTGGTGAAAGTTTGAGAATCTGGATGGGATGATGTCGAGGACAAATGGGATGTTAAGGTCATGGTGTAGGGTCTTATTTGTGACATAATATGGGGCATTGACTATTGTTCTAAGTACTTTGGACTGGAAGGATTGGATGCGTTTGATATTCGAATGTTTAGCAGTTCCCCACAGTTCAAGTCCGTAGGTCCAGATAGGTTTCAGTATTGTCTTGTAGATTAAAAGTTTATTTTCAATCGAAAGATGAGATGTCCTGCTTAGTAGTCTATATAGCTGGCCATATCGTTGGTTAAGTTCTTGTCTTTTAAGTCTTGTATGTGGGTTCCAAGTTAGTCTTTTGTCTAGAAGGAAGCCAAGGTAACGGACTGTATCTGAGTAGGGAAGTGGTATTGAATTGAAAAGGATTGTGGGACAGGATCTGCGTCGCAGGGTGAAAGTAATATGTTTGCATTTTGCTTCATTGATTTTGATGCGCCAGTTGTTGCACCATTGTTCAATCAAGGAGAGGTGAGATTGTAGGTTTAGAGATGCTATTTGAGGATCTGAGTGGGAAGATAGAATGGCAGTATCATCAGCAAATGTAGCTAGGAAGGTATCGGGATTTGAAGGGATATTGGCAGTGAAAAGGATGTAGAGAACTGGACCCAAAACACTGCCTTGTGGAACACCAGCCTCAACTGGATAGTAAGTGGAGAATTCGGTGCAGCAACGGACTTGGAAGGAACGATTTGAGAGATAGGATTTGAGGACTAGGTATAAGGATTGGGGTAAATGGGTTTTGAGCTTGAAAAGCAAGCCATCGTGCCACACCCGGTCGAAAGCTTGCGCTACGTCCAGAAAGGCACCAGTGCAATATTGCTTGTTTTCAAGTGCAGAGGATATATGGTCCACAACACGAAGGCCTTGTTGGACAGTGGAATGTCTTGAGCGGAATCCAAATTGATGAGAAGGGATGTTGTGGGATTCGAGTATGGGTAGGATGCGTTTTAGGAGGATTTTCTCAAAGATTTTTGAGAGGATAGGGAGTAAGCTTATCGGTCTGTAGGATGATGTGTTATTAACGGGTTTGCCTGGTTTTGGAAACAGCACGATTATGGAATGTTTCCACACCAAAGGAAAGTTGGTTGTGCGAAGGATGCAGTTGTATAGATAGGTAAGGAATATGATTGCTTTTTTGGGAAGTTGTCTGAGGATTTGTGAAGTGAGGAGATCATATCCAGGGGATTTTCGGGGTTTTAATTTGTTTATGAGGAATTTTACCTCAGAGGGGTTAACAGGTTTTGGAGGTAGAGAGAGAGGAATTGGTGAAGAGAGAAATTCTTTAACTTCAGCAGTGTGGGTTGGATGGAGTTCGGGATGAGGAGTGAATGTGTAGGATAGATGTTTAGCAAACTCTTCAGCTCTATTCGCATCTGACGAAGCCCAGGAACCATCATCACGGCGGAGGGGGTGGGAAATGGATTGGAATTTAAGGATTTTTTTAGTTACAGTCCAGAGGGAGTTATCACTAGATGATAATGAGGAAAGGTAGGAATTGTAGGATTGGGTTCTAAAGATATCCAGTTTCTTTTTTACCTGTTTGGAATAATAATTATACGATTTCCGGTCATCAGGATGCCTGGTTCTTTGCCAGAGGGCCCTAGAGCATCGTTTGCTATGGATAAGGTCCAATAGGTCTTGGGGTAGGGGATTTATACTGAGGTGTTTTTTGGGACGATCAGGTGAGGATGCAGTCCAAACTGCTTGCTGGATCAGGGTAGTGAAGGAGTCCACTGCATCGTCAAGGTCTTCAGGTGTTTTTAAGGAAACTCTGAGGTCTATATTATCATCCAATATTTGACGGAAAAGGTTCCAGTTAACTGGTCCCCTGATGAATGAAGGAGGGGATGATTTAGGAATGGGTGATGTGGAAACGGTTAGGACTATAGGACTGTGGTCTGAGGAAAGATCATCAAGCCTTGAAATGGAACAGTGTAATGATCCTAGACCTTTGTGTAGGAAAAAGTCTAGAAGGTCGGGATTGCGGTTGGGATCTGTTGGCCAGTATGTGGGAGTATTAGGTGAAAGGATATTGCTGCGATGGGAATTAAGTGCAGATAGCAATGTTCGCCCTCGGGAATTTGTGGATCTGGCTCCCCATTGCTGGTGTTTTGCATTTAAATCTGCACCTAGGATGAAATGGTGTCCTAAGGAATTCAGGAAGGAAATTATTTGGGATTCGGAAATGGGTATTTTAGGCGGGGAATATGCCGCAACTAATGTTATTGGGTAAAGGGAAGTTTGGATTATTACGGCAGTGGATTGTAGGAAATTATGGTTTGGTAAGGGAAATAAATGATGGGAGAGAGATCGGTGGATAATTATAGCAGTGCCAGCATGTGCTGTTCCATCAGGATGATCGGTTCTATAAATATTGTAGCCAGGAACGTTGATTTGTCGTTTGTTGGTTAGTCGGGTTTCAGTTATTAGTGCTATGTCAATGTTTTTGTCATGTAATAAGATTGTCAGTTCGTTGATGTGATTTCGAATACCATTCGCATTCCATAGGAGAATGGAGAGGGATTTGGTTGAGGACATTTATGGATTTCTCGGCGGTGGAATGAGGTTGGATATAAATCTTACCTATAGAATGGGAAAACAACATCATTGTCAAAATCCATAAGAAGGGAAGCCAATGTATATGTGATAATTACCGTCCCATATGTATGTCATCGGTGGTATACAAAGTATACAATCGAATCCTGGAAAAAAGATTAAGGAAATTGCTGGAAGAAGATCTGGAAGAGGAACAGGCAGGTTTTAGACCCGGCAGGCAGACACAAGATCATATCTTCTCTCTGAGAATGATTGTAGAGAAAGGATGGCAAAGAGGTAAAGCAGTATATCTATCTTTTCTAGATGTACGGGCAGCTTTCGACCATGTTCCTAGACAGGAAATATGGGATGCATTGGAAGATAGGAGAATCCCACAAAATCTTATTAGTGCAATTAAGTCAGTTTACCAGGACCCAAAGGGAGTAATAAGGCTAGCTGGCACTGAGTCCAGGTCATTCCATTTCGTTAGGGGAGTTAAATAGGGCGATAGCTCGAGCCCTCTACTGTTCATAATATTCATGGATGCCATTTGGAAATTTTGTAAAAAGAGGACACCCAGAGCAATAGTGGAATACTGGAATATGAACCTAGTGTTGACATAGGAATTGCTGTATGCAGATGATGTGGTACTGGTTGAGGATACTGCTGAATCGCTCCAGGTCGCTGTGAATGAGTGGTAAGAAGAACTGTAACTCAGAACCATGCAGATCAATCCCTCCAAAAGCAGCGTCATGTGTGTTGGACGAAGGAATGAGGATCTTAGAATCACTTGCAATGGAGAGACCTTTAAGCAAACCGATACCTACTGCTACCTGGAAACAATGATCGGCAAGGATGGAAGAATATGCAAGGAGGTCATGAATAGAGTAAAAAACCAGGTGAGATCGAATTAGGAATGAAAGAGTGCTAGACGAACTAGAAGTTAGATCCGTCCTAGAGACGATTGAAGAAAGGCAGTTGAAGTGGTACGGGCATGTTAATAGAATGGGAGATGACCGTAAGGCCAGGTGGCTTCTAGAAGCAAGACCCGGAGGAAGGTGACCTCGAGGCAGGCCAAGGCTCATGTAAACAGACTTGATTGAGAGAATTGGCACAGCGAGAGGAAGCACCATGCCTGAGATGAGAAGACTTGCACAGGACAGGGACCGTTGGACAAGATGGTCGGAGGCAGCTACTCCATGCTTAGCAGCACAAAGGAGATAGTGAGAGAAGAAGAAGAAGTAAGCTCTAGCAAAGAAAATCAGCACCAATTTAATGTTACTAATTATTAATAAAAAATCATTCATCTCGCTGATTGTAAATATAAAAATGTTTAACGGTTTATAAACTCATTATTTATTAAGTCTGAGAGTAGGATTTGGGATAATAACCAGTTGTCAAAATACAAACAACAGAACGATACAAATATTGAAGTGTAGTTGAGGACATGACACTCGATACTTTTTGATTAATTTTATTGGATGAAATAATAAAATAAATTAAGAATACATATCCGTGAATTGACATCTAATGGCAATTAGTTTCAACATTAATTTAAAATATTAAACAATGTTGCTATTGAATTTTGAGGGTGATTTATATAAATTACATAAAGTCAATCATTATGAAAGAAAAATATCAGCCAAAACTATTAAAAAAAGATAGATAGAGCTTGAACAGAGGAAAGAAAAACTTATTAACATTCATCAATACACATAAAGTACCTTTCATCATCATGACGGCTAGACTTATCGTGACGCCACCTTTCTTCCCTACGAGGACTGTCTCCTCGTTCATCCCTCTTATCTTCTCTTAAATCTCTGTCCCTCCTATCATCTCGCCTGTCATCTCTTCTAGAATCTCTACGGCTATCTCTATCTCTGTCATCCCTTCGATCCCGGTCATGACGGTCATCTCTACTATCTCTTTCTCTCCTATCATCTCTTCCTCTTTCTTCCCTGTCTCGACTTCTACCCTCATCTCTTCTTGGAGGAGATCCATGAGGATCCCGTTCCCATCTACTTTCTCTTGTCCGGCCCCAAGAGGTTCCTCTATGCCCTAAAACAATTTTGTTTCAAGTTAAAATACCATAAAGTTAACTGATATATTTTAATCGGAAAACAGTTACATAAAAGTACGCTACTTACTACCATCATTCCTTGGTCTAAATGGTGAAGGTCCTCTTCCAGGACCATGTAATCGCCCATCATAGTCATCATCTATAAATAAATAATTTAAATATTCATGACACAATATTATTTATAAGATATTAATATATTGTTTGATTAATACAATACCATTCATAAGAGCAATAATTGATTCGGAATTTGGGTAATGCGTTAATAAAATAATAATACAATGTATCAATATAAAATTATATCCTGAAATTAATATATCATAAAATAGAATTTAAGACAAACCTTTAGGGAATAAATCACGATTTTCTCCAGGAGGGAATCTATCTTCTTCTCCCTCAGGAAGTTTATGAGAGCCGTGGGCATAATCTATCATTGTAACAGGTTCATAGAAAGCAGGAACACCTGAAGAAAATGGCACAAAGGTCATACTGTAATAATTTAGTAATTGTAAAACTGACATTACTTGTAAATCCTAACATTTTGTACATTAACTTTAGAAACAACTGAATAACATTACTTAAAAAATAATACTTATTACAACGTTTCACTGAACATTTATGAATTGATATTTTAATGAATTAATCTTAATAAAATATAAATCGTAAGACAGTGGATGAAAAGACAATAAATAATGATCCATGCTGCATCCCTTGCAATGATAAACTCATGGTAACAAATTCTTCAAGAAATTAAGATTATATTTTTTCATTTGATTAATTACGATCAAATCATTGAATGCAAATATGAGGTTGTCGTAGCATACCTAGATTTGCCGGTTTATGAATGTAGTCTATGATCTTGTCCGGATTATGCAGAGGCGGAAGCTGAAACCTTTGAGCCCCCATACCCGGGGGTCCGCTCTGACCTCCGCTCATCGAAGGTGGTCCTCCGCTACTACCCATGAGGGGTGGAGGAGCACCACCAGGCCTAGCGTTAGGACCAAAAGCATGTCTGCCAAAGACTGAACCGTCTCCATCATTAAAGCTGTTTCTAAAATAACAAAAAAAAAACTAGTATTACAAATAAGATCAATCAAGCAACTCGCGCAAAATAATAATCACAGTAAAAATTAAAAATCAATAATCATTGATCGATAATAACTTATTCATTCTAGAATAACTATATATCACAAATTGTGTGTTTTTAATTTAACCTGATGTTTTAACTGCTTAATGCTGTAATATAAAATATTGAATTTACTGAATAAATTGTTTACATCTATATATATAAAAATGAATGTATGTCTGTCCGTCCGTCTGTTTGTACTTAGTGCATTACTAAATCATTCAACCGATCGCCATGAAACTTTAAGAAGTTGTTCCGTACACTCCTCGGAAATTTCTGGCATAGTACTTCTGTCTTATGATAATTTTATATATGTAAAAAAAATAAAAATGTAAATGTTTTTCTGTAAAAAGCCAAAAAAAAAAAAGAAAAATGTGTCGCTATAAACTGTAGCGCCAAAACGGCTTTACCGATTTAACAAAACTTGGCTAAAGTCTTCCTCTTGAAACCCTTTTAATTTATGTCTATAAATACCATACTTTCCCGAAAACAAGCTGAAAAATATTACGATGAATTCAATATTCTATTTGCCAATAACTAAAAAAGTACACAATTTTTGATTGATAATACCTATATTTATATGAAAGATTGCTGAATTTCTGACAAAAAAAAAAAAAAAAATCATCGAAATCGGACGGTTCGTTGCACAGTTATAGAGTTTTAAACATTTACTGCTTTCTCTTCAGAAAAGGCCATTTCCTTTTGCTTCCTCACTACCGAAGGTCGGCAAGCATTTTTTATTTATTTTTTTTATTGATTAATCAAAAATTTTATGATTTCTACTCGAATGTTCAATTTGAATCATGAGAAAAAAAAATCATTAGAATTAGTTTAAATTGAAGCCATTTTATAGACAAATTTGTTTCCTGACTTTTTAAAAATGACAGATGTCCTTTGCTTCTCATCTACTCATATATGCTTTCTATGTTATTTCTTTTTCATTTTGCCAGGCTTTCGTTTTCCCCATTATCTTCTCTGGTGTGGGAGAGGTACATGAGGAGAAAAAAATCTATGAAGACTATGTATCTATACTAACCACAGTGGGAGTGTCAAGATTAATTTTTCAGGGACGCCAAGAATAAATATTAACTGACTTGAATGGAATTGAGACCAATCTGTTCAAAACTAGATACTCTGAGACACTTGCCCTAATATGTTCGGCCATTATAGCTTCTTTACAGATACTTTCTACCTTACAAATAGTAATAATAATCCTACCTAACCTCACAGGAACCCTCACCTCTAAACAGAGGTTTCAGATCCAATCATATCAATGCACAATTGTAAAGAGGAGAGGAAGAACCGAAAAGATAGGATCTGAAAACACCAACATATATGGGCTACCAACCTTGAAGCTAAACCCAGCAGATGGTGTCTAAGAGGTATAACATTTGACATTACAGATAGCAACCTCATGCTGCAAAGTGGTATTTTGGGGAAAGAATATGATGGCAAGTTCAAATCCAACAAAAAATTTAGAATTGAGGATAACAGACATGAAAAGTCTCATCTTAGCTAAAAAGGATCATCTGTTTTTATAAAAAAAAAAAAAAAATGTAGATTTACTGAGCTTCCATAACTTTATCTTAAAAAAGAATAATTATTCAGAATAATTTTGAGCCAAAGATTTTTCACAAGAATCTTTATTATTTAATTCTAAATGATACCTCCCTCTTCCTCTATCTGGCCATTTCTGGCAACATGAGTGACTATCCAAAAGAATATCGATCTAATCTAGCCAGATTGGGAATGTCTATTCATTTTGTGGATCCAACACAAAATAAATTTAAAACTGACTGGTTCAAACCCGATGCGAGGTCACTAAGATGAAGCCTCTTGACCCTCCCTTGAAGTTTTGACTACCATAGCCTAAAATTTTAAATGATATCTAAAAGGTACCTAATTCCATGTAGTACACTTCAACCTTTTTGTGGGGTTCAGTACTGGTAAATATAACTTCACTTCAAATGCTTGCACAAGTAGAGTATTCTGTATATAATTTTTATGCTGACTTAAATTAACCCAAAAGCAAGTAAATAAAACTAACAGAACATGACAGTAGTTTTCATAAAAAAAAAAAAGGTTAACCTACGCATATGTTTATAATGAACTTTTTATTTCAATATGTTCTATGTTGTTGAACAGCCATAAAAATATATCACTGCATTATGAAACCACGTTTAACCATATATAAATAAAAAACTTGCATACATACATGCCTGAAATCGTTCAGATGACTCTATCGTCATTAAGTCATACCAGTTGAAGTGAATCTAAATTATCTTTAATGTGCCCATTTGTTCTTCCAAGATGTGGAAATGAATCTAGATTTAAAGAGTTTAGAATATTTCACTTTTAAGCGATCAAATAGATTATTTAGGTAATTCTAACTTTTTATTTATTTTTTCTTTTCTTTTTTTTTATTTATTATCTCATTAACATAGCCATCATACTATTCCTCACAGCCTAGCAAAACCAGATTTTCTTGAGTAGTCATTGTCAACATAAAAATTTTAATATGGAATTTTTACTGACATGATTATCCCCCTATGAAGAAATGAAAGAGTTATTTGACAGTGTTTATTGTTGGACTTGTGATTTTGAGTTCATGCAATGTTTTAGAAAAATCTGAATTTTTAATTCATAAAGTAAAAATAGTATTATTCCCAGCGATTTGATCCACACAATCTTTTTTTCAATTTTATAAGTGATGATGAATGCAGGAATGATCACCTTATGTGAGAGTAATAATCTGTTATGATACAAAGATCCTTGATGGGAAAAACAACTTCCAAGACAAAACATGCACACGCTGACACCGTTTCTTTTCTCAAAAGAACATTTGTGACGGTCAGTCCATAAAGTTATCATTGCTGTTGCTGTCACGAATCAGCATAATAAATGATAGTGAATAGCAAAGATCCTAAAATATATAGACAAAATCCATCATAAAATAATCGAACCAATCTAAAACATAAATGTAAAACTATGGTCAGAGTTCAATTTTTTTTTTCTTTCGCATATATATATATATATATATATATATATATATATATATATATATCATACATTGTAGTGTGGTAAAGTACTACAATTATGAACGACTTTGAACCAGATTATTCAATGAAGACACATGTTTTGGGGTCCACTGAGTCCAAATAATTAATTTTCACAAAATTGTCTGTGTGTTTGTATTTGAACAGTCAAGCTCAAAAATGAAAAGATGGATAAAACTGCAATTACATATTTAAGGAAATACAAATATATGTGCTTGGTGTATTACAGCAATGTTTCACCAAAATGAATAAACCAAAAGTGACACTTAATGCATCAATTTTATACATTTTTACTATCATCTCATAAATGGTTCTAACGATTTTAATTAAAGTTAACAGATTAGATTTTGATTAATGTTAACAGATATATAATTAATATAACATACAATAATTAATTGTTTTAAATGAATATGTTATAATGTCTATACTTTTTACTTTTACTTCTTTATCTATGAAAATACTTATTTCTACTCAAAGTATAGAGATAATTTAAAGGTGTGTGATGAACACAGCTGGCCTACAATTTTTTTTTTTTTTTTGATGCCCCAAATGTGTACTTGTTAGGATCTACAGTGTCAAGACAACTGTTATAAAGCTCCGTTCCTTTCCCCTGCCTACTTACAATGCAATGATATACTTTTACAGCTGTTTCCAACAACATTTAAAATATTAATATTTAAAAAACCAATATTAAACATGTGAGTGTTATAATTTTGTCTTTATGTATATAAAAAAAAATAAACTATTGATTTTATTAAGCTGCTTTAATATCCCTTCAATCCAGAATAAAAAAATATACACAAAAGTCCAGCAACAATAAACCCTAAAAAAAGGGTAAAGGGTAAAACACTGAGAACTTTCTAAGTGTCATTTAGAATAACAACAAAGATTTCTACAGGAGAAAAACCTTGGCTTAACATTATTCCACATAAAAATAAAAATTAATAAGGAAAAAAATCGAACTTGCTGATTGTTTTTATTTCTCATTAATCATATGTTATCAGTGAGTGATAATTGGGTTAGTATAGATACGGTAAATGTGCTGTCTCTCTTGGAATAACTGGGAGACAGGATGGCCCAAGCAAAATATGATCTAAGCAACATGGCAGGGATATTGTGAAGCAAATGGAGCTAGAAACGCAGAACACTGTCACAGGCAAGAAGTACTTTGGATAAACTCAAGAATAGGTTCAAGATTCCATTACCATGATAATGCTCCAATGCATCAACGAACGTTTCCACAAAATATTTGGCCAGCACTGGAATAAAACTTACAACATCCTCCCTACGTCCCAGACCTTGAACCCCGCACCCCCGCTATAGGCTCAGGGACATTTTCGTAGTGCTTTTCCATTAGGGGAAAAACAGGATTGAGCATGTTGTCAAAGTGACTGTTCTATTTTTCTAGTCTTTGGTTCTCATAACTAATTGATGATTGATGATCCATCTCTGCGCAAGGAATATTGAGGATATTAAATACCCACTATTCACTCTTTGGTAGGTTTTTGGTATTCGTTTGCATTTTTCAAGTTTTGTAATCCTTCTAATGATTTATTTTCCCATGCCTTTTTATTTTTTACATCAGTGTATACTCTTTTCTCGTTTTATTTGTTGTTGATTTGCATCCACTGGGGTTTGAGTATGTCTCTTTTGAATCATTCTTTCATACACTACATTTTTCTCTTATCAGTGCCTTGTCTGCACTCTTCACAAAACCATGATTCTCTTGATCTGTCTGGTCTCAATATATCCAATAGTTTCTTTCTGCCCCCTCATGTACAATTGTTTTAAATGTTAACATTTTATCAACATCTGTAACTAATGAATGAAGTCTGTTTGCCAGATTTTCTTTTATGGTAAAAACAAAAA